GCGTAGTATGCCTTGTTCCTTTCGATGACCTTTTCTGTACGGGTTTAGCTCACCATGTACTGAACGGATCGAAAAAGATTGCTTACCGTATGTACGTGCATACACAGGGTCGGGGTTATCAACGAGAGGAGGAAGTCCACCACAGATGAAGGCCTCAGCGAGACCTTCCGGGCTTGTAGTAAAACAAGGTTAGTAAATTGCTGAAACCATCATAAGCCGGGGCTAGACATACAACATGGAAAGATAAGTCACGGCGCAGAAACCGCCAAAGCTCTGGCCAATGATGCTCCATTTCCGCTTGTCCTCGGGGTAATCGGTCATCAGACAACGGCGAACAGCCTCACAGTCACGCACAATGTTGTCTGCGCGGAAGTTCTTCATGTACTCTGCTTGTTTGATGGCATTGCCTTGCCGAGCAAGGGTGCCCGCTGTGACGGTGGAACTGAGACCAGTGCCACGTTGATCGAGGAACAAGACCTATTTGGTGAGTAAGGGGCCTTTGAATAATACCGCTTGGTGGGGTTGTGTACCTGATAACCCTTTTCGAGGACTGTTCCAATCCAGCCATACTCTTGCGGGGGGCGGCATCCCATTCCAGGGCCACCCTGCAAGTACACCAGGAACGGCAACTGCTTGTCGTCCTTGGGGGTCTCGCTTGGCTCAGCAGGCGTTACCAGGCGACGTACACTGCGGGCAAACAGTCTCAGAGTGCCATCATTGGGCTTGTTGTAATTGAGAGGCACATCGAAGAACAATTCAGCCACCCGGAGCCTGCCTGGATAACCCCACCTGTCATTAGCGTGACATTTTTCCCTAACCCGGGAAGCCATACGCACCGGGAACATTATGGAAGCGCCGATCGATCAACTTGGCAGCCATTGTCGTGGCACTCTTAGCTATGGGGTCTATGGGATTGCGGATGTCTTGAATTCCCTACGAAGCGAATTGAGGTGGTGTGACGGGCAGATGGGGAAGATGGGGCCAACAGCCGCCGGCGGAGGTCTCAGTGCCATTTACTAGCCTCCGCTTTGGGAGAAGCTGTAAACTGTAACGGTATCTTCTCCTCACAATACGGTATGCTGAGCCGCGATTAAGCTTCCCGTCAAAATCACTCCTTTTAGTACTAGGATTTGTTTGTTCCCCACCATTTCTTATGCAGTTTCGCGCTTCGGAGATAACCGCACCTATCATTCGCTCCCTGCATGACTGCAGTCAGAGACTAATAGTGCTGCCTACTTACTGCTCCAACTGCCCCATAACGCTGTTTTAGTGACTAGCACTGTCAGACCCCGTCCTGGAGATCCTTGCAGCATATTTGACGACTCTGCTCCATTCAGCAAGTCCAGCCGGTACTGTATTCTGAGTCACGCTCATCAACCCGGCTACTACTGACAACCAGTTACAGGAAATACTGTAAGAGAGTTTTCCTACCAGTATAAGATTGGTGCTGGATATAACCCAATCAATCACTGTATCAGCCAAGTCCGTCACTTTCATCCTTTTTTTGTATACCCAAATCATTCATTGACTGCTTTCAAGACACAACTCGCGCAATGGACCTAAGAGATATCAAAGGGACCTCCCAAGAGCAGGGCCAATTACATCAGAAGCTATGGGAACTTAACCAAACATATACATCAGGGAACGTGTTGCCTAGTGCTAGTGATTTGTCGCGAGCCAGAGCATCCCTACCAAAGTCTCTCCCTGCTGAAGGAACGGGTTTCGAAAGTGCCACCCAACATATCCTAAATGACTTGGTCCCAGCCTTCAACCGCAGCAGCATAAGTCCTAATTATTACGGATTTGTCACCGGAGGTGTTACCCCGGCAGCCCTATTTGCAGACAATCTAGTCACAGCTTACGATCAGAATGTTCAAGTGCACCTTGCAGAGCATTCTATATCGACAGACGTCGAAGCCACTGCTCTTGGTCTGCTTGCCGATCTTCTGAAATTGGATCGACGCAGCTGGAATAATGGGACTTTCACCACTGGGGCCACGGCCAGCAATGTTCATGGATTGGCTTGCGGGAGGGAGTTTGTCCTCTGCGCTGCTGCTAAGAAGAGTGGAATCGATATAGATAGCGTTGGCGAGTATGGCTTGTTCGAAGTCATCCAAGCTACAGGAATCTCTGGTATCCAAATCCTCTCGACTATGCCTCACTCTTCGTTGGCAAAGGCCGCTGGAATTCTTGGCATAGGCCGTGCCAACGTTAAGAGCATTTGTCGGGAAAATCATTACCTTCAGATCGACTTTGAACGACTTGAAGCGGAACTGAAAGCCAGTAAGGCGAGTATCGTCGCTGTCTCCTGTGGAGAGGTCAATACTGGACATTTCGCGACGTCAAGCTTGGTTGAAATGAAAAGCCTGCGTAGCCTCTGTGACAAGTACGGAGCCTGGCTTCATGTCGATGGTGCTTTTGGGATCTTCGGCCGGATATTGAACGGTGCCGAATTTTCGGCTATATCAAAGGGGTGTGAAGGTATGGAGCTAGCAGACTCGATCGCAGGTGACGCTCACAAATTCCTTAACGTGCCATACGACTGTGGCTTTGTCCTTTGTCGCCATCCTGGTGAGGCTGAGAAGGTTTTCCAAAATGCAAATGCGGCCTACTTGTCTGGGGGGCAGTCTGGAGCGCTCTCAATACCTTCTCCACTAAACATCGGTATGGAGAATTCGAGACGGTTTAGAGCGCTGCCAGTGTATGCCTCGCTATTGGCATATGGCCAGATTGGGTATCAGGAGATGCTACAGAAGCAAGTTCGGCTTTGTCGAATGATCGCAGGCTGGATATTCGATCATCCCAAGTACAATGCTTTGCCAGATTTGTCAAGCAAGGATGAGTTGCTAGACCATACCTACATCATAGTGCTGTTCAGTGCAAAGGACGACGAGTTGAACAGCAACTTAACCAAGGAGATAAATGCGACTTCTAAGCTTTTTGTGTCTGGAACCTCCTGGCAAGGAAGACCGGCTTGTCGAATCGCAATCTCAAACTGGAGGGTGGAAGAAGAAAGGGACTTTGCACTTGTGACAGATGTCTTGGACACCGTGGCTGGAAGAGTATAGAGATATGACACGTTGGAATTATGCTTGATGTCTGCTTTCATCGTACAATTCACTCTTAATATATACTAGCTATGCTTGTAATTGAGGTTGAGGTTGTTTCACTCCATCGCTTTTGCAGTCTTAGTGACAGTTGTGCGATGAGTACTTTGTTTACCATGGCCCGATGGATAACCAATTATAATATCGCCACATAGTTCGTACGTACTATTCGCCTTTTCTCCCCCACTGTTTTGTCCATTGTGAGATTTCATGGATGGCGATGCGATGACTAATCTGACATGATCATCTGCGAGACAAATGTTCCGGCTTTTCTCCCCTTCATAAGCCTGCTTGTAGCCCGGCAGCCTGGTGCCGTAACGAAAGGTGACTGAATTTCCAGTAATCATAATGGTATATCGCGGAAGGCCTTCCAAATCGTGCCGGGAGTGCCGCAAACGAGATATCAAAGTATGCTGGTTCCTACTCTTCGACATCATGACTGAGCAAGGCTTACACCTTCCATAATAGTGCGATAAAAAAGAAGACGGCTGCTCCCAGTGTTCCCGCGCTGGCCTGACATGCTCTGGTTACCAGAAGCCAGCGGATATAGTCATAATCAATGAGACATCTGCTACGGCTGAGAAAGTATTGAGGAAGCGCTCTTTAGATCGTCCAGTCTCTGCAGGCCCTCTATCTACAAACCTCCTTCCAACTGTATTGCAACGCGCGAAGCACCTGTATATCTCGCAATATGTCCAGGACACACCTGCAACGGGCATATACTCATATATGCAGGTTTTTTATCCATCCAAGTCAGACGACTATCCTCTTCTCGAAACCATGATTAATGCGCTTTTCATGGCCACGTTCTCGTCACTGCAAGGGTATCCCCCGGCTCTCTATCATGCTCGAAACAGCTATGGATCAGCTCTGTCTCTGACTCGAAAGGCCATCCAGTCACGAAAAGAGGCTTTGTTGGATAGGACTTTATTCTCGGTGTTGCTCATGAGTATATTTGAACGCCTCGCCGACGTAGAACAACGAGGTTTAAGTATTCGCAACGGACATTTAAAAGGTGCCATTGAGCTGATGGCCTTGAGGGGGGATGGCCAATTCACAGACGATGGGGGCGCTAAGATGTTTTTGCATCTAACCGAGCTTGTTGTTCTTGATTGCCTTGCCAATGAAGCTGATATTCCACTTCAATTCTTGGCATTGCGACAACAAGCTCTTGAAGCCGGTGCAGACACATCGTCACCAAGGTGGAGATTCTTGGAAATCATGATGCGTTATGCACAGTTGGAGCATACCGCGAAGTCTTCCATTTCTGCAGAAGGCGTCATTTATCAAGCCAAGGCACTTGACGAAGATCTTGATCGATTGTCTAAATATCTGCCTTCTTTCTTCTCGAGAAGGCAGACCCCTGAACCCCCAAGCATTCCATCAACCAAGCCGGACATATATCCTGACTATAATACACACAGATGCTGGAACAACATCCGTGTTCTCCGTATTCAGCTAATGAAACTCATACGCGAGCAATACGCTCGGGTGTTGGGAAATTCGACCAATGATGCCTGGGCCATGGCCGAACTTCATGAGTCCAACCGCCGAGTGCATTCCCTTGCTACAGACATATGCCTCTCCATACCTGATACGGGGGCTAACATCAGGCTTCCTTATGAGGTCTCCAATATCCAATCAGCAACACTCTTGTTTCATCTATATGTGGCCAAAGATGCTCTTGCAAAGCCAGCTCAATCGAGGCTATACATTTATGAACGATTACAATTTGTGGAAGAGAAGCAATCTCCTTCACAGCGCAAAATATTGGATTATTTGCTACATGATGGTTATCAAATGCCGCGAAACACTTGGAAGATATGGCTTTCAATCGGAAGAGAGGATTTTTCTATCTGATTTTAGGGTCGCTTCCACCTGCATCTGCCCAGCCTAGTACTCATTCAACTTCATGGCCGCAGGCGGAAACCTCTCCCCTGCGACTGGATATTTTTCCTGGAGGGCTGCAATCTGTGCAAGGTCATCATCAGCCAAGTCGACATCCCCCACGTTCTCAATAACCCTGGATTCAGATCTCGCACCCGCAACCGGGACAAAAAGCGGCATGCCAGGCTTTCTGCTCTGCGCTTTAACCCACGACAAAGCCAACTGAGCCGGAGTGCACCCCTTCGCAACCGCAATCTTCTCCAGCTCATCAACAAGCAGACGGTTCTTCGCAAGATTGTCGGGTTGGAATCGAGGAAAGATACAATGATGATCGTGCGCCGGCAAGTCATCAGGGCTCTTGATCGTGCCAGTCAACATCCCCGCTCCCAGCGGTGTGTGCGCTATGATGGGGATACCAAGCTCCGCGCATGTCTCTGCGACACCATTACGGAAAACATCCGTAGCCCATATGCTCACCTCCGCCTCCACCATATCAATCTTCGCAACGCTCGCCGCACGGCGAATAGTCTCGGCTTTCACCTCCGACAGTTGAATACCCCCAATCTTACCCTCCTCCTTCAACTCAGCTAGTGCCGTGATGCTCTCTTCAACTGGAACATTGGGATCAACTCTCGCACAGCCGAAAATGTCGATTTTCTTCTTGCCGTCCAGGATCTTCAGGGCGTTGTCCACAAAGTCGCGAAGTCCGGCGGGAGAGCAGTCCATAGCGAAGGTCTTCATGCTCGCAACGCCGGACTTGATGGAAAGGACTACCTTGTCTGCGTCTTCAGGATAAGCTGTGAAGTAGCGATTCATGAGGTGCAATGAGTTGTTTTCCGGTGTCCCGTAGAAGTCTGCTCCGTTCCATACGTTGACGCCGGCTGCCAGCGCTGTCTTGAGAACCTTGAATGCTTGTTCATCTGATGTCACATCGTCTGACAGGGTGAAACCTGCGATATGCTTTCATCAATATATATAAGCTTTTACAATGATAGCTCAAAAAGCAAAGAGGAGGGAACGCGGGGAAAACTCACGCATAAGCCCCAACCCATTCTGGGTGACTTCCCTTCCAGCGAGGAACGGCATCGCTAGTAACTAGTAATGAAAAATCAAGTTCGGCCAGATGTATTAACAAGTTGAATATAGTATTAAATGACGGTTGAAGACAAAGCAGGCTAACGGGTCACTGTATAGTATAGTTATAGTATCCAGAAAAGGGAAACCGCTCAGCCAAACTGCTCTCTTTGGTGCTATCGTAAACAACCAAACCCCTCATTATTGCAAGAATCACCACCCTTTATATACCCCCGATTTCTCAGCCATCAGATTATTCGACTTCCGGAGATAATCTACCTGTAAGTCCCTCCATCCCCGGCGTTTACGAGTAAAGTCCGGGAGTATGCCGTCATGACCAGTTGGTTACCCGATTAGGTTTGGTGGAATGGAGAGCCGTCCTTGAAGAGGGCCCGTCTGATTGATATGCAGATGCGGAGAGATTTTGGTCTAAATCGAATTATATAAATGATCTGGGTGCTTAATTATGGTGTCAATGATCTAGCGTTAATTGTGGACTGCAGTGGTGCTTGGATTGGTCCTAGGTTCGGGTTGTTGCCGTTCCTCGGATGTATATTATTTTGGCTCATCTACTTAAGTGCTCAAAATGTGCCAGACAACAATTATTAGGTCGCATTGCTTTTCTCCAGGATATGAAGTCATTACTACTAACTGCCAACTGAAAGAACTAGACCCACGCACATGTCCAATCGTGGTCAAGTCAGATGAAGGGTACTAGATCGTGAGAATCCGTAAAAGCGATACGAAAAAGCCAGAAACGTTTTGATTTAAACTATGAAGGTATATGCACATCACCTGCGTCTTCCGGCGCCGCCAACATTGTCACCCCGATCAGCAATGCTAACAACCTCTCCAATACCAGCTTCTTCCTGCTCATCCTCCAAAGCCATGACCTCTTCTCTGCTATCCCACCACTTCTCTTCCGCCATGTTGAATGCATCCTTCCGCAGCTCCTTGATGTTCTTCTCCGTGGCGATGCCCTTCTCTTTCAATGTCTCCAACAGGATACGCTGCCAGTCCTCGCCTGTGCGGCTAAAGTAGTCACGCAAACTTTCAAACGGACGAGGCAGAGGCCTACTGTCCTGCACAGATGGCTCTCCCTCCTGCTCCTCCACTTCCAGATTCTCCATCTCCTGGGTGACAGAAGGCACGGTTACTTCCGTGGGGGCGGGGGAACCAGTGTCCAGGGACATCGCGTCCTCCTCTTCCTCCTCGTCTTCGAGATCTTCCTCTTCATCGTCATCCATCTCCTCGTCGCTGTCTGCTTCGTTGAGAAGGTGCCAGTTAGCGGGCTCGTTGTAGAAGATCTCTTTGACGCCATCGAGCTTGACGAGATCAATCGAGTACATGTCGTTGAAAGTGAATTCCCGATCTCCCTTCTCGAAAGTACCGCCAAAGATGTACAAGGTATCATCCTGAACGGCCAGTTGCGCGTTGAATCGCTGGTGAGGCATCTCGAAGCGCACGATCGCAGGCTTCGCTGGCTCCTCGGGCTCTTCCTTCTTGGGTGCCTCCGGCTGCAGTTCATCGTCCTCCTCGCTTCGAATACCCTTCTTAGCCTCGAGAGCCTTCAGATTCTGCAGGAGTTCCTCCTCGTCAGCCTTGCTCCGGTCCTTAGACTTCATCTGGTTAGCGAGCTGCTTCTTGCCTGGCGCTCTGGGCCGGCGGAGCGTCAAGGGGAAGAAACGGTTCCGGTCGGTGTTCCAGGCGAACATGGTGTCGAAGAATTCACTGTCAATGCCTTCCTCGCTCAACTCAACGTCGTGCACACCACCGAACATGATGCCACGTCCCTTGTGGTATGCCATAGTGGCACCGGCACGGGGAGGGTTAGGAGAGTTGGCGGGCTTCTTCCGGCGCTCCCAGCGGACGGTGGGCGCAGCATTGGCAGGAGCTTCAGGACCCGGGGGAGTAACCCGGAGGAACCAGGTGTCCTGATGCACCATGGGCTTCATGGTCATGCGCTGAGGACCACCCTTGACGGGCTTGCCGTTGATTCCCGTGGCTGCTTTCACACGGGAATATCCACCATAGAGAACGGCACCGCTTTCGTGCGGCAGGAAGGAGAAAGAAGACCGGGGATCGGGCTTCTGGGATGCGGTTGGGAGCGTGGGGTTGAACCAAGTGTACTTGGAGCAGTCGTAGATCCACAGGTCTTGGAGATACTTGGTTTGTTGCGAGGTGTCCTGGAATCCACCAAAGAGGATAATGTAGTTCTGCTTTTGGGTTAGTTTCAATTTAGATTTCCTGGGCAGGGTAAAGTACAGACCTTGTAGTAAGTCATTCTGTGACCACTTCTGGCCGGGGGACCCTTGCCCTTGGAATCCAGACGGGTCCATTCCCTAGTCGAAGGATCAAGGTGCCAGAAGTCGTTGTAGTGATAGAACGTACCCTGCTTGGGCGAAGAAAACTCTCCTATTACGAACATCAGTACTCTGGAAAATCTCATAGGCGTTGATCTGAACCCTATACTTACCACCGAACAGGTAGACACCTCCCGTATTGCCACCACGGCACCAAGCATGTCCACTGCGAGGGAGCGGACTATTAGGACTGGTGACTTCTCTCCACTCCGCGCGGTCGATATTGTAGACGAAGAGGTTATTGAAGAAAGTGGCAAGATTTCCATCAAAGTACTCTCCACCAAAGACCAGCAGTTCATTGCGATTGGAAGGAGAAGCCAGAACAGTTGCAGATGACCGAGGTGTCGGCGGTCCTCCCACAACCTCAGTGACCTTCATGAACTTGGCTTGTTCCTCAGCATATTGCGCAAGGATGGCGTCCAAGTCGGCATCTTCGACATCACTGTCGGCATCCTTGTTCTTGCCCTTGCCCTTCTTCTCCTTCTGAGCAGCCTTCTTGTTCTGTTTTGCTGCTACACGCTCCTTGTGCTCGGCGGACTTCTTGTTCTTCTTGCCCATGGTGGACGAGCTTGAGAGATACGGGGGGTTGGACTTTTGGACTCTTTTGTGGTTTCTATGCGACTGAGGGGGAGGATGTGGAGCTTGGATGCTCTTTTCTTACCACCCTCTTATCGGTGGAGTTATGGAGTTGATATTCTATTTACTACAGATTCTCTCCATTCAGCGCGGGGTTTTTCTGGGCCCAGAAAAAAAATGTCGGCATGAAGCCCCTCTTATATTACCGTGTAAAACGGATACCATAGTCTATGAGTGACCAGGCACTTATGTAGAGATGGGAGTACAGGAGACCGAATAAGGCACATACACACAAAGCATATATGTAATGAGTGCTTACTGAACCAAATTATTGACTCCAGCATCGCCTATGCGTGGTATGCCCATATGCTATAGTGTTATGCGATGTTGATTTTTCCACGGTCTGGTATTGAAACATATTGTCAAAGAAGATCATTCAACATCATAAGTCACACTGACAACAGCCAATGCTGTATATTGTCCTCTAATACTATGCGACTACTGCAATATTGCAGCAATTTTGTCAAGCATCTCGTCGCATGCCATTGCCTGGACACCAACGATGCTACTCAGCTTCGAAGAGGGTAAGTAATACCGAGTATCATAATTGGGAGTGGCATGGATTATTTATATCCTCACCGCCCACGTGATGACGCGCCAGAACGCGTCCAGACCAGGCCGTGGATTCGCCGGACTGAAAGCAATTGAATAGACTAGTAGTTGCTCGGCAGCTAGTCTTAACGCCCTTTGTGATTGTTATGTTGCGACTCGTCAATGAAAATCATGCTCACAAGCATACGGCCTTATGACTAAAAACAATTTAGCAGCCCACCTCAAATGGCTGTTGCAGCAGGGCCCTGCGCTATACCCCTCCTTATCTCCGTCCGCGCACGAGTATCACAATAACACTGCCGACCGAAATCAACCTACTGCGCCGGTGCCACCAGCGGGGGCCTTAGCGCACCAGCCAGAGGATATCACCATCGCAATCGATGATATACAACCGGAAGTCAAATCAGCAGACACGGACCATGTGGACGAAAAAGCGGAGGTAGACTCGGATGAAGAAATGGCGCGATTGCTTCTTACTCCGGCCTCCGCACGCAAGCCGCGGATGCTGAGTCTATCCAAGGACGCTGGCGCACCCACTCCGAAACCTATCAAAAGTAGCCAGTCTGTCAAGTCGCCTTCGAAGGGAAGAGATAATGGTCTGGACAGGGTCATCAAAAGTACAGTGAAACAGCGCGCCTGTCGTTTTAAGGGATTTTCTAACAACTTACTCCAAATAGACAAGCAGAGTCCCCGGTCTCCATTGTGCAGCCCTAAGACGTCTTTCCTGACACCATTTGGATCGAAGCGGCCATTGAACGCAAAGTCACCACTCTTCGATTCCGATATTGATACGATTGACTTGACTGGCGACTTGAATCAGACCACGCTTTCGTCTGATACTTTCGATGGGTTCGAGGAACCGCAACGATTGTGGACCGAAGATGCTGCATCCCGGAGAGAGCCTCTGGAAAAGCGTGGAAAGAAGCGGAAGAGCGACGAATATGTGTCAGACCTTGTTTCGCCGCGAAAGAACGGCTTGAAATCGCGCTCGCCATTGCAGGTTGTTGAGCCTACGAAGACTCCCCGTTCTACCTCGACGCGTCTTCAGCCCGCAAAATCACCTCGCACGACCAGAAAGGACACTATATCCCGGGCTGATGATCCATCGGGCCTACCTTCACTTTCACAGAGTTCTCGCTTGGGTCATGTTATCGCTGACTCCGATGACGACGACGGAGATGAGAATCTGTTCGATGACTGGGTTCCTGATGGAGACGGCCCAACACTGAACTCCAATGAATCACTCTACCCGATCCTACCTAATCAAGATAGCTCAGATGAGCACGCAGCTCCTAGCCCTGCGAGAAAGAAGAGCCGTGCTTCCCCACGGGCGTCGGATGCTATGGATATCGTCCCCTCCAGTGTTCGTCCATCTAGGAAGGACACCCGCATCAGTCCTAGTCCAGCCACTCATGTGCCTTCTACTACCGATTCGCCCAGCTCTCAGCCTCAGAACGAAGA